AAGATGAAGACCCGCCTCGCCAGCGAAGTGGAGGTCCTCATCATCGATCTGGAGAAGTCCAACAACAGCTGCCGCGAACTGCAAAAGTCTGTCAACACCCTCGAGAAGCACAACGTCGAGCTGAAGAGCCGTCTGGATGAGACCATTCTGCTCTACGAGACCAGCCAGCGCGATCTGAAGAACAAGCACGCCGATCTCCAGCGCACCATCCACGAACTGGACAAGGTCAAGGATGCCAACGGTCAGCTGGGCCGCGAGAACAAGAAGCTGGGCGGTAAGTGGACCCCTGATCTGAACTCTTTGAATCCAACTCTTAAGCTAATTGTTCTATTCTTACTGTGCTCAGATGATCTGCATGAGGCCAAGGGCGCCATCAACGAGCTGAACCGTCGTCTGCATGAACTGGAACTGGAGCTGCGTCGTCTGGAGAACGAACGTGATGAGCTGACCGCTGCCTACAAGGAAGCCGAGGCTGTAAGTTTTAATAAAAATCCACTCGCCCAATGCCAAGCAACAGCTCACTTTTGATATTACTCACACACAGGGTCGCAAGGCTGAGGAACAGCGCGGACAGCGTCTGGCCGCTGACTTCAACCAATATCGCCACGATGCCGAGCGTCGTCTGGCCGAGAAGGACGAAGAAATTGAGGCTATTCGGTAAGTTTCGAGCTACTAAGACCCCTCCTGCTTGTGGAAGTTGCATCAAATGTCGGCGCCACTGGCAGAAAAATCAACAAGAGTTCTAGTCGGAAGTGCCCGACTGGGAGATACTATAAACGCAGAAGCTACCTTTTCCAAAATTCTAGCTGTTTACACAAAAACGGAGATACGCAGTCTAAGCTACGGTTCGGTTATTTCACTTTAATCGGTGCTTAAGGTCCGATCTAAATGAAATGATCAGGGCTTAAGTATAACAGCCAAGTGTGTGTAAATAATATAGCGCCAGGACTTAATCATTATTATTTTCTTCCAATTTTGGGCGAAATGGGGAAGTTTTAAAAATATTACATATTTTTTATTTTATATACTATACGAATATCTACACACCAAATGTCCTGTATCTAGCTCTAATGTCTCAAAATTGAAATTAATCGATCTTTTGAAAACGGGAAGAGATATAGACAACGTATATATAAACACTTACTGCGTATGGTATAGAAGAATATTTGTTTCGAACTTCTCTGCCTTTTTGAAATTTGCCAGATCGACGCGTTCACTTGCTCGAATCAGCCCAACATTCCAGTCAAAAATATTTATACGTTATGTGATCGGTTTTGCTTCCTTCTGCCTGCACAAAAACAATATACCCCTTCCACACATTTTCAATGGGTATAGGGTATTGCAACCTTGTGGTTTCCGCTGCCAAAACGGAAGCATTTGCGTCAATGAACAAATCAATCGATTGATTTGCAATCGTCGCATTTGCCAAACAATTGATATCAAATTGACCCATTTAGCAATCAGTACGATTTTTATAGTTGCGCCAAAAGCAACGGACACTAGAATTTCCCAAAGAGCAGCAGCTCCTTAAGTCCTGCGCGGTTCAAACCCATAGAGAAGTAGCTGGTTCGCATACTTATATTATAATGAGGTAGTCCAAAGACAAGAACTACTTTAAGAATTTTACGTTGAAATATTCATAAGGAAAATTGCGCAGTTATTGTGATTACATAATTGGGACACTGAGTGAACTGAGATCGACCAAAAGTTAGCAAGTCTTAAGACTGGTTGGGTTCCAAATAGGTAGGTGAGTGTATAAGTAAAAATTTGAGTCAATTGTTGAACTTGGCAAGTGCTTGGGCTTTGAAAGATCAATGGAAACTGCTTTTGGAATAAGAAAAAAACAAGAACTCCTAGTGCTGTACGGTTGAACCTCGATTATCCGGATTATCCGATTACATTAAGACATTCAAAAATGTTATTAATTTTATAATTCTCTATATATTGAAACATGTTAATAGTTATCTTATGCATTTCCTTAAACTTCATTTTCCCAAAGTTTTGATTAAGACAACTGATATTATGCCTTAGTTATCCGTAACTATCCGTTATCCGTTAAGAGAAAGCTTATGGCTAATAGAGCTAAGGATAAAACTGAAGCATACTTCAGGTAAATTACAACAAATAGAGCTAAGCAAACATTTGGGTTAATAGAGTTCCGGTTAAGCGAGGTTCAGCTGTATTTTCAAGAAAAGTTTTATTTTTTGTTTTTTTTTTCTATTCAAAAGAATTTGTCTATTGCGTAAAATGTGTGACATTTATTTTTTGTCAGAGTCTATGAAGACGCTGCCAAAATGAATCAATCATAGCCCAAAAAGCACAAACATTGACTGCCAACAGAGACAATGCTCAGCAGGATGATGATGATGTTGACAATGATGATGATGATGTTGTTGTTGTTGTTGGTACATTGTCGTCATTATGTTGATGCCATTTTTTTTTCGTTGTGGCAACACCAACAGCTGAACAAGAAACTGCAATCTTTTTATAGATTTCGACAAATTTGAAAATTTATTTGCGAAGCAGCAGCAACTGTTGCCAAACTGAGGACTGCGAAAGCGACAGCAGAAACAGCAGCAGCAGCAGCAGGCGACAAAGCGACAAAGCGACAAGGCGGCGACAAAGCAGCCAAGCAAAATTTAGCTTTAATTAGAGTATTCGTATAACTAAGTATACTCGCACTCTCACTCCCCCTTTCATTCCATTCATACCACTGCCACGCCCCTTAACTAAACACACCCTAAAATGTCGCTGGCCCTGCAAAAGCGTCCGTCTCGCTTCCGTCATACAACAACATATGACGACAACTATGGCTATACCATGAATTTCTATCAGCCCATGTTGGACTATTTGGACGCCAAGGCGAAAGGTCTGAAGGTGCAGCAACCGCATCTGCCATGGAATAGCGAACGGGGCCTAAAGCAATATCGCTCCTCGAATGCGGTTAGGCATTATAATGCGGATGAGATCGTACGCCTGTCGCGCACCTGCGCCGCTCGGGCCGATGAGATTCTGCTTAGCTTTCGGGCACAGAAACGATCGCCGTTCAGTGTGCAGAAGCTCGTTGACGCAACGCGTGTGGGCAAGCACATTGAACCGGACACAGTTGTTGAGAGATCGCGCCAGCGTCGTCGTCGTCGTCAGGAGGAGCTCGAGGATTTAATAAAGCACGATACGTTAAAGATATTGCAGCGTGTACGCAAAATCGAGCTAGATAGCGAATTTGATCAAATGTCTGACGATTTTAAGCGTTCGATACGCGGCAAGTCCGCCAGTGCCATTGCCCAGGCGCTGCTCTCCGAATCGGAGCGTAACATCAAAAGTGCCAAACAGGATGAGGAGAACTATATAGCCCAGACGATGATACGTTCGAGTCGTGCCGCGTCCCGTGTGCGTTCCACGTCGCCATTCGATTATGTCGGGGGCGGCGGCGGCGGTCAGTTTCGTACCCATGCTGTGCACATGGAGCTAATGGATGACCGTCTGGTCGATAAGCTCGATCAGCGCGTCTCCTCGTCGCTGCACAATGTGAAGCGTCAGCTCTCGACGCTGAATCAGCGGACCGTTGAGTTCTACGCGGATAGCAGGTGCGGTATAGAGGATAAGTGTTGGATTTGTCGCAAAGTGATGCGCACACATCCCAAACTCAAGGACTATACCTATATCTATTGGCAGCACTAACATGACCCATAGTTTTCCCAGCCCTCCCCCAACCAAACCTAACAGTTCCCGCCACCCCCTTCACGTGCAGCTCATCATTTATCATCCATCCATAATATTGGCATAACGAATCTCTGGCGTTTTCTATTAGGTTCTAGCCCAGACAATTCTGAATAAATGCGAACATGTTTTTTTTTCGACGTGTAACTCAATTTTCTTCTCTTTAGTTTTTTGGCTATATCCACTATACTCAGCCCACAGTCTTAAGTGTTCATTTCTTCCTCCAACTCTTCTGCACCTCTTGTGTTTTTTTTTGTGTTGTCTGCGAATTTATTTTCGTTTCTAGACGCTTCTTTCTCATTTCCCTCATATAATTCATGAGTTTTTGGCTTAAAAAAAAAGGAATAATAATTTCTACGTTCTCTGTATTCGTTTCCTACATTTGACGTTGGCCAACACTGGCCGTGTATCCATTGTTTGGTCGTGTGTAAATTATTTCTGCTGCAATTTCTAAATGTTCGTCTTGGCTAATTGCAACGTTCCGCTGACTATTTGGCTTGCCATTTGCAGCTGACCATCATAATTGTTCATTATTTAATATAATTTTTGTGAAATTTCGAGGCATTGTACAAATTGTTCGCAATTTAAGATGAGGGTTTTCCTAGTGGGCGCTAGACTTGAATTATATTTAAATATAGCAACAGATTGAGTAAACCTTGGCAGGGATGGGAATTTCTAGAAAGTTTTGATAATTATAAATTATTAATATTATTATAATAATTTATTAATTAATTAATTAATTATTAATTGTAGCTGAGCATTCTATACCTGGACTAGAATGATTTTCCCATATAGAAATACTATAGTTAATTCTAACATTTTAATATACTCTTTCAATTGGTTTCAAATCTGACCCGGCCAACATTTTAAATACGAAAGCGCATTGTATTTAAAATGAATATAAATATACTTTCAATATGCTTTCTAAATGCATTAGACACGATTTTTGCACCTTTAAAATTGCTCATGCAAGCACTATTGGGTACATTAAAGTCTAATGGATCTTATTTCGCACCCGCACACAAAAATATCTTGCAGGCGGCAGGTATTTTGGGTTGGGGGTTAGCCCATTGTTTGACGTGTCCTTCAACAAATAATATCTTATTTTATTTTTCTCGCACTAAAATTGATGTGCATGACAGCGAAAAGCAAGAGAATAAAGAAAAAAATTCATCACATATTTCTGCGTAGACAATAAACATTGAAAACGAGGCAAAAAATTAAAATTAAATGAAAATGAAAAAATACTTACGTTCGCAAGCAAAACACAAGCTAAATACCTTGGCAAAGCGACAACAACGAGCGCACATAGATTAAGTAACTAAGAAATGGGCTACGTAGTACACTGAAAGAAAAGAAGATGATAAAAAATCAGAAAGGCAAACATCAAGTGCAAACTAATGCGTACGGTACGCTAAGGCACGAGATAATTTTTAATAGATTTAAGAAAGTATATTGTTAATATAAAGCTGAAAGTTTCAATAGGGTTAGTTAAATGAATTGGAAAGTTATTCTAGAGTTTTAAGTAATGACATAAATATAGTGAGAGTTCACAGAATTAAATGAAATTAACATTTCTAAAACATATATGTACATATGTTACATAGTGGAGTTATAATGATATGGGGGGATTGATTAAGAACGGAGATATATACCCAGCCAAAAAACTAGAGTTAGGTTTAGAGTGGGAACCCCAATGCAGATTTAAAGTAAACATGATCGATTGAGATTTGGAAAGAATTAATAATGTAATATATATATCTTACTTAAGATCGTATTTATGTTCCCAACTTTGAGCTACAGATTGTGCCAGATGAGATCTCTATTGCTTACTCAAGATCGTAGCTAAATGAGACCTATAAGAGCTGATCGACTGAGATTGAAAAAGATTCAATAATGGGAGATATATAGCTTAGTTAAGATCGTATTCATGTACCCAACTACGAGTTAGACTTAGACTTGGTGTGAGATTTCTAGATTGCAGATTTAAAATAAAAGCTAAACGACTGAGATTGAAAACGATTCACTAATGGGCGATATATAGCTTAGTTAAGATCGTATTCATGTAACCAACTAGGAGCTGGAGCACAAGCTAGATGAACTGTCTGTCTATTGCAGATTTAATGTAGTTGGAATTAATAATGTGAGAGCTTACTTAATAGATAAAATTAATGATAATACAATATAGAGCTTACTTCGTTAATGGTTATATACATATTTTAATAAAAATAGATCTATGAGTAAGGGTTTGGTGCTAAGTGCCGCACTTTGACTTAGCCCCAGCTGAGAACTTGCACTCAACTTGTCAAATGAATCAACTGTTGATTACAATTAGTCGAAAAACAAATTTTTGGCAGCAATCGACAACATGGCAAGAGTAAGAGTATTAGCAAGCCGCTTTAAATATATATATGTATATACAATATATATATAGTATATTAGAAGAACCGCGTAGAGAATTCACCTACGCCTAAAATTAGACGCATGATGCGATCTGTAACAGACGCAGTTTCTATTTGGGCCCGTGGGTAGCTAAGGTAGTGCAATGCTTGGCATGTAAATGCGCTATTTGTGACAAGTTCGATGTCTTTATCAAGCGTATAAATAACAAAAAATGCGCCGAACAATGCGATTTTTGACAATGCCACAAAAATCAGCAAACAGCAACCGCAGCGACAGCGACAGCGGCAGCAACAGAATCGAGCTGAATGCTGAGTGTTAAGAAAATGATTTTTGTGGGTCAGACATTGGGCCAAAAATAGCGCAGAATGCAAGCGAATGAAAGCGACTTCGAGGTGAGCTGACAACATTTGAGGGCAACTTCCAGCCGAGCCACTAAATGAACTATATAATACTCTGTTTGAACTGTGTCTAACCAATTGGGTATATTCTATTAATTTCCTATAGCAAGCAGACGAGCATTGAGATCGAGCAGCTGAATGCGCGCGTCGTTGAGGCGGAGACCCGGTTGAAGACCGAGGTGACCCGCATCAAGAAGAAGCTGCAAATTCAGATTACCGAGCTGGAGATGTCGCTGGATGTGGCCAACAAGACCAACATCGATCTGCAGAAGGTGATCAAGAAGCAGTCGCTGCAGCTGACCGAACTGCAGGCCCACTATGAGGATGTGCAGCGCCAGCTGCAGGCTACCCTCGATCAGTACGGCATTGCCCAGCGCCGTCTGGCCGGTCTCAGTGGCGAGCTGGAGGAGGTCCGCTCCCATTTGGATAGCGCCAACCGTGCCAAGCGCACCGTCGAGCTGCAGTACGAGGAGGCCAGCACACGCATCAACGAGCTGAACACTGTCAATGTCAACTTGGTGTCGCTGAAGTCCAAGCTGGAGCAGGAGCTGACCGTTATCTCTTCCGACTACGAGGAGGTATCCAAGGAGCTGCGCATCAGCGACGAGCGCTACCAGAAGGTTCAGGTCGAGCTGAAGCATGTCATCGAGCAGGTGCAGGAGGAGCACGAACGCAGCATCAAGCTGGAGACCATCAAGAAGTCTTTGGAAGTCGAAGTCAAGGTAAGCGCCAACTCTCTGCGAGTTACCAATGCAATAGATAAAATTCTGATGCTATACACATTTCCATGCACAGAACTTGTCCATTCGCCTGGAGGAAGTGGAGCTGAACGCCGTTGCCGGTAGCAAGCGCATCATCAGCAAGCTGGAGGCACGCATTCGCGATCTGGAGCTGGAGCTGGAGGAGGAGAAACGCCGTCATGCCGAGACCATCAAGATCTTGCGCAAGAAGGAGCGCACCGTTAAGGAGGTGATGGTGCAGTGCGAGGAGGATCAGAAGAACATCATATTGCTGCAGGATGCGCTGGACAAGACCACTGCCAAGATCAACATCTACAGACGCCAGCTGTCCGAACAGGAGGGCTTCTCCCAGCAGAGCACCACCCGTGTGCGCCGCTTCCAGCGTGAACTGGAGGCCGCCGAGGATCGCGCCGATGTTGCCGAATCAAACTTGAATCTGATCCGCGCCAAGCACCGCACATTCGTCACCACCTCCACCGTGCCCGGCTCTCAGGTGTACATTCAGGAGACAACAAGAACGATCACCGAATAGATGATCACTGGAGACGCCCACACAAACACACACACAAAAACACAAGCACACACAAACACACACACACATTACACACATACACACACACACCCAAACAGCAGCAACATTTTATAATTTAAAAAAAAAGCAACAAATAATCAAGAACAACAGCTTTCAGAAAGAAATGCAGAAAATGCAGTCAATTTTGAGATTTGAAGATATTTGCTTGAGAAAACTTTTTATAATTTAAATTTTTTTCAGAGCTTGCGAGAGTTCGTATAGGTTATACATTATAAATACATAACACTACACATCTCCTATCCATTTATAATAATAATATTTTGAAGTTCATGTAATTTAATTAAAATAATGAACCTAAAATCATATATAAAGAAGAAGAAAAAACAAACAACAAATAAAATTACCAAAAAAAAGTAAAAGGAAAACTACAGAAGTTTTGCAGCGTTAGAGAGAGAGAGAGAGAGAGAGCGAAAGAGAGAGAGAGAGAGAGAGAACGAGAGTTTGCTTATATAGTTGGCTGATTAAAATTGAAATGAAAAATAAAACAAATAAATGAATAAATATGCAAAGATCAACCAATCGACCCAACAAAACGAGTTACCCGAGTTACAACCGCTTCTGCTACTTGTTTTTAGTTCATTTTATGTTTAGTAGGTAAATATCTGTGTGCTCGTAACGAATTGATTTTACAAATGATTAAAAGAAAAACGATTAAGAAAAACTGAGCAATTTTCATATTTTTACTTTGTATTTTGCAATAAAAACTGAATTTACTTATACAATAACAATAATAACAACAACAAGCTCAAAACGAGTTGTGTACTAATTGGGATATATCACAAAATGTACATCGAGAGAGAAAGAGGAAAATTTAGCTGAGTTGAGAAACATAAGAAAGAAACGTCTTATTAAGCTACTTCAAAAGATTTGTCCATAAATATTGTTACGGATTTCAGAAGAATTTAATTTTAATATATGAACAACAAAGATCTTGGTTCCAGTCCCCGTCTATTGTATGGCTGTAGTATTGTCTTTGCCGATTAGAAAAGCTCTTATATTAATAATTATAATATTGCCAGATCATATATGAGCAGCTAAATTGTATAGGTGATAGGGAATTGAACCACAAATCGGGTTTCCCGATGAAAGTATGAATATAGTATTTTCTGATTTTAAAAATGTAGTTATTTATTTTTAACACAGAACTAAGAAGAGTTCCACTTTGAGCAAACTAATTGTGTATGTGATCCAATTAAAAACATATCGGGCTCGAGTCCATATCTATTATATGGATTTCTGATTTACAAGGGGGTATTTCATTTTTGAATCAGAGGATCAGAAGAATTTCATTTTAAGCAAGTGAATTGCCTAAATGATCTTGAAAGGCAATTCAACAACAAAGATCCGGGTTTGAGTGCCCATTTCTCTATGGATGACTCATTTAAAAAAAAAAGGCTCATGAATATATTATTAATTATAAATAAAGAACTCACAGAGTTGCATTATTGGCAAAAGAATTGTCTAAGTGATCTTTGAAGACAATTGAACAACGAAGTTTCGGGTTCGAAACCCCCATTTAGAGTATGCATTTAGTCTTGTCTTGGATACTTTAAAACAGACTTTAGTCAGTATATAACTAAATCCCAATATTATTATAATAATTAATAATAATAAACCCAGTTTGTTGAGGATTTCTCTCACTCTCCCAACCCATTAGAAAAAGCACACATATATCAATTTACTTTAAACTAATCACTATTTATTAAGACTTTCAGGCAGCTGGACAAAAAGATGTCCGATAACTTAGGCAGCAGAGACAGCCAGCTTGGAGCCGGTGTTCAGGGTGACAGTCCTATCGCCATAACGACCGCCATAGCTGTTCCTCTTGAAGACTGCAAGTGGAAAATTCAAGGAAAAATCGAACTTTAGCACGCAGCTCAGGTTGTGATTGGAGGGAGCGTTGTGTAACTAACCTGGATCGATCTCGGCGACGAAGGCGCGTGGTGGCAAGGCAGCGGCATAGAGGTTGTCCAGCGGGCCGTATGGCTTGACCAGCAGAGGCTTGCCCTGCTCCCAGCCATAACGGTTCAGTGCATACCAATCGGCACCATCTAATTTGGCGGAGGAAGCGGCAGCACCGGCGGCATTGGTCAGAGCAGCCGCTTGAGCCTCGGCGGTCTCGACGGGCCTGATATATTCGCCATAGCCGCCGCTGCGGTAGCTGTTGCCGCTGGGCCTGTAGGCGAGGCAGACGGAGAAGCAGCAGGCCATCAGGCAGAGCAGACGCATATAGTTGACGGACATGTTTGGATGGTGCGAGGAGGTGACACTTTTGAAAACTAATTAACAATTGCGCGTGGCCAAATTGCTTTTATAGCCATTATATTTGAGCTGGCTAGCGATTTGTGTGTGCGCTTTACGTGACCAAAACCCAGTCGAAGACCCCCAACCAAAGCCAGAGTCATGACGAAAACACTTTGGGGCTGAGGTGGTGGGGCTTGCAGCCGGCGCATCGCGCCAAAATCCCACTGCCCCGTGTGGCACTGATAAGGCGCCACAGCGCACTGACGCAGTCATCTTCTTCGGTTACAGAGTACGGTTTTGGTGTCAGTTTACTCTTAAAAAAAAAAAAGAAGAAAAGTGCTCGTCAAATTGGCAACAACTCGACCACGACCACGACAATGACAAGGCAAAGAGTCAGTGGCTGCTCCATTGATATCGACTGCCCCCTGCTCGGCACGCTCGGCTCGCATTTGGCGTGTGCGGTATCAGGTCTTTGACTTGGCTACCTGTCCAACAACATCATCGCCGCTGCTCAATGAACCCCAGCATCAACTCGGCTGCGGATGCATTCGAATGCACTCGCAATTCGCATTCACCAGCTCTGTGTCATAGGCGACTCCAATGTCGCAGATAGCTTCCAACAGCTCGATCTCTCGATCGGCCCAGCCCTGGCCATTGTCTAGCTCTTGCTGACTTATCTTATCTGTGCAGCATGCAACTAGCTTAGCTGATAATCGAACTGGGTTCAAGCTCAGCAGCTATTCAGTTTAGCTCCAACTGAGTGAGTGTATAGTGTGTGTGTATGCGTATGCGTATGTGTGTGTGTGTGTGTGGGTTTGTGGGAACCACATAAGTAGTTGGTTTTTTGCAAGCGTGAGGCGCCGTATAACATGAAAGCTTTAAGCTTCTTGTAATCATAAATAGTACAGTAGAAACTCATATATGAGCAACTGGTAAAGATTTTAAAATATTTTTTATAGAACCCGATGCCTAAAGAGACGCAAAGACAGAATATGTTTTACAATAAACAATGGATTCCTACTTTGAATCCAAGTTATGGATAATATTTAAAAAATAATAATAATAATAAAATTAATAATAATAATAATGGTATTATTAACATTTTTAGCAATAATAATAAATATAACAATAATAATTAGTTTTATTATTACTTAATTGCACGAGATAAATTTATAAGTTAAGAGTGATATATTTATTGCTTTGTTTATTATTATGCTAAGAGTTTAGAAAATATTTCAAAATAATGAATGCAGATGCCAAAAAAGTTGCTTGCCTAGGGTTAAGCAGCACGATATAATAAAAGTCGGCATAATTAAAGCATTGATGTTCATTAGTATGAATTGATATGGTTATTGACTGGCATGATACTATAAAATGGAATAACGATGTCAAATTTATGGGAGAACATCTTTTAGGTTGTCTTACGCACGTGGACGGCAGACATACTATAACCAAGGCTTTGGTTCACAACAAAAAGAATTTATGGGAGATTCAGCACCAAAGTATAAATAACTTTGGCCCCAGCCATCGCATTTATGCCATGTATGGCATATGCCAATTCTGGGTAAAGCTGAACTTTAGCCCGCATTTTCCATATGAAAATATGCACAGCTAACAATATTTTCAGTAGCGGAACGGGCAACTTAAAATTAATTGTTTACTTTGGAATATTGAATATATGAGTAGCCAAGGCCTTAAGAAAAGCCTGGCTTTAGGGAAGTGAAAAACCAGCTTGAAGCCCAAGTTTTAGCCAACTTTTGAATAGACGCTGCTTTGTTGAAATTATTATAAATAAGTTTATAAAAGCTATATAAGAAATTAAACTTTTCAAATTGAAAATAAACAAAAAATTAATACATAATAATTTTACTTTCAGCTTAACTAAAACCTGCGAACTTATTGGCATAAATTATTTCCATAATTTGTATATATTTATAATATGCATAGGCACGAGCACGCTCGGCATTCCCAATCAAAACTGAACTTAATGCCAAAACAGCTGCAGCTGCTGCAGTTGGGTCAACCTGCAACTGGCCAAACATTGGCGAACCAAACCAACTGCCAGTTACCGGAACCATTTATCTGGCCCCCCCTCGGACTCAAGGCCTCATAGGCATTATCAATAAAACATTTTGGGTTTTCTTTTTTTTTGTGATTTTTTATTCACGCTGTTTGCACAACGAACTCTGCCATGTTATTGTGAGAGCTTCACGTTTGAGCTGATTCGGAGAGAAGTAGCCAAGAGGGGATTGGTCCTCTAGTACTTGGGTCCCTCGTTTTGGTAGCCACCGTGGCTGCCATAGTTGTTCTCGGGCAGGTAGAGCTTGGCAACTGGGGGAGCGGCGCGCACGGGCAGCACCACCTTGGTGTACTCTGGTGGGGAAGCATAACGACGGTAGCTGTTCTGGCCGGGATACAGCAGAGTGGCGCCAGCGGGCTGGACAGACCAACGGGGACGGCCATAGCCGCGCTGCTGGCCGCCATAGTTGCCACCATGGTTGCCGCCATGGTTGACGCCATGGTTGCCATGGTTGCCGCCGGCGATGTGTCCGCCATAGCTGCCGCCGCCGACGAGGTGTCCAATGTGTCCCTGTCCGCGACCGTATTCGTTGTGGCCACCATGGTAGCCGGAGTCGAGGAGGATCGGGCGCAGTTGCTCGCTGCCGCCATAACGGGGACCGGCAACAATCTCTACGGGACGCTGGTCATTGCCACCGGCAGCAGCGGCGCTCGATGCGGCAGCAGCGCTGCCATCTCCACGCTGTCCGTAGCTGGAGATGCTGCGGTGACCGTAGCCGGAGCCGCCGTGTTGGCCTCCGTAGTTGCAGCTGCCGACGGCGAGGCAGACGCTGATGAATACCGCAAGAGTCTGTGTATTGGAAATCGATGCTTGAATAAAAAACTGGCGACCAACGGAACGGGAAATGGGCAGACGTCGCCATGCTATGTTGTACTTACGGCGAACTTGTTCATGGCTGTGCTTATTTTTGTTTTTGTTGTTTTTGGGCTCTAGCTGCTTGAAACAGTTGGCACAATTAACAAACCAAATGCCAAGCACACTTCTTTATATAAGCAAAATAATTGAAGCACTCGAAACGTGATCTCGCTGCGAATTTATCACGGCGCTGAGTTCAGAGCTCAGCTTGGCTCAGCTCAGCTCGGCGTCGTCTTCATCTCGCTGCAACGGTGGGCGGTTGTTGATGTTATTCTTCTTCTTCTTCTTCTGCTGCTGCTGTTTTCTCGTGGTCCAAATCTTGCAGCTCGATATCGCACCCCACTCAAGCTGCTGCTTGTTCGCCCGAGACTCTGCTATCGCCGACATTTGTATGCTGCACAGCCGCCCCCAATACATAGGGGGGTTGCTCTGATCTCTCTCTCTCCCTCTCTCTCTTTCTAGAGTGGTTCCAAACATTGTGCATGTTTTGTTAAATGGAGCTGTTGCTTCGTGTGAGCATGCAGCTGGATAAGCACAGCGGCCTCTTGTTGCTAACTGTGCTCTATTTGGGCCCGAAACATTTCAGCTGACAATTTGTGGATTAGTGAAAATTGACTTGAAAAATGCCTAAATATTTTATGAAGCCAATTTTTTATATGATTATAATTTTGTCAGGAAATGAGTAGTACATAGAAGGTGAGCCCATTAGATATATATATTCTTGATCAGCAAAACTATCCACATGAAACTTTGTCTAGGCTTGTCTTTTTGTTCAAAAACATATTCGGAATCGGAACACTATATCGTGTAATCCGACGATTATAAAGTTTTTGTAAGAATTCTTGTTTGTTATTCAGAAAATCTTGACCAAAATTTGACAATACTTTCACTATTCTTTCCACATATAAGATAATTATTCTCAATATTAGGTTACTATATTATCATTTGAGCCAAGTCTTAGCAACATCGGACTACTATATCATATGGCTCTAGAGGCTGAGTTCGCTGAAAAATGGATTTTGGTGTGGAAAAGTTTTCTGTATATCGAAATACTCTAACCAAACTCCAGTTATTATGAGCTACATTATTCTCCCCAGCTCCTTTCTTACTCTTTTCAAGCGTTTCTGGATCTGGTCCATGCAGCTTTAGTCTAACGATCTCTTGACTAAAGACAACTCTTTGCATATAAGTCCTTTCATCAAATAATTGGAAATTGTTTAAATTGAAGAACGAGGTTTTGAGCCCCATCGTTCCTAGTCGTTGCTCCCACCCGCTAATCCCAGCTGCAACCATTTAAGCCCGACGCTCAAAAGTATGTCACACTTTGTAGCTACCCGCACCCAACTGAAGACAACTCTTGGAATTTGGTTTTTTGTTCAACATGCTCCGCGGCTTTCAGCGGTTTTGATTTATTTTCTCAACAGTTGCTGCTTGACCTGATCCATTGAACAATGAGGTCATTGGCTCAATTGGATGTGGCTGAGTTAATAGCCACCACGTCCATAGCCGCCGCGGCTGTGGCCGTTGTAGCTGGCGTCCAGATCGTAGCCGATGACGGCAGCCTGCTCGTACCTGCCGGGGCGGATGCCAGCCGAGGCAGCGGCAGCAGCGGCCGAGGCACTGGGGTTCGATGAGCGCGAGTACAGGGGCTGCGCATAGCCGCGGTTGCCATAGCCTTGGTTGCCATAGCCATGGTTGCCATGGCCCTGGTTGCCATAGGAGCTGCCGCCATAACCAACCTCCTGAACGTAGGCGACGCGGCCACCTTCATAGCCACGGTTGCTGCCATAGGGATTGGCATTAATGCAGGCGACCAGGGCGAGGACAGCGAAGGCAATCTGTGTATTCGAGGAAACAGGATTAGTCAGCTATCCACATGTCCATGTCCAGCTGCAGGGATCACTTACCAGGAACTTCATGTTGAACAGTTAGTTTTGTTGGTTAGGTTAATCAATCAAACTATGATTTAGCTGACCGCAACGAGCGCTTTTATATGCAAAAATTAGACTGGATATTTACGTGACACTCCCCAAATAAGCACTTCAAGTAACCTATATACCATATATAATTTCTATGGCAGCGATATTTCATAATTCTAACCAGCACATAAGACAACAATTATTGGCGACATATTATGTACTTGGCTCGTATTTCGTTGTCGTGTCTGGCCAACAATTATAAAATCGTTCGGTTACGCGATGTTTTCCATTGTTTTCTGACTTTTGATAATGCCAGGGCAAAAAGCCCCCGACCCACTCGATTCGGCCGCGACCCAAGCTCGACACACACCGCGAAAAAAATACAAACTAAGCACTTCGTGAGTTCTCAATGAATCCACGAGCGGAGCGCGCGACTTTTGTAGCCCCAGGTTTAAAATAATATATTATACTTTTTTTCCACATATACAAATGCACACTCCTGGGGCTAAAATATAATAAAGACAGTCATAGACTGGACTTGCAGCTGTAAACATGGGCCGCTCGAGACCCGCTCGAAAAGAAACTCATGAGCTTTAGGGGCAAGAAAACATTTTGGAAGTTATATACTTGGCATAAATAATTGTTTACGGAATACAGTATAATTGTTGTAGCCATAATACATATTAAAAAATAATTTCTTAAGACATAATTTCAATATAAAACTTTTACGCATAAATGCATTTAAGAAGTTTCCAATCATTCATTTTAAAATCAAAGTCAAATCATATGTGCTATACATTTCTGTAGAATCAAAGAACCATATTGTCGAATACTCCAAAAGTAAAGAAATTTTATATATATACTATATATATATTCCCACAATTTCAAAGTACAACTGAATTATTCCTTGGCTTTAATTGAACACAATTAAACAGATGCAAGGAAGTCAACTTTTTCGTAGGACTCAAAAAACGCGTGACCCAAAGAGAAAATGCCAATAAATTGTTTATGTTTTTATGTTTTGTTGCTTTTATTACTTTCTACTGTCTTATGCGTCTATATAAGTCCCAAGCTTGTTAGCTTTCGATTCACTGTAGCGTTTCTCAACTCGCTTAATAGCCGGAGTTCTTGTAGCCGGAGTTCTTGTAGCCAGAGTTCTGGCCAGCCACGGAGCTGGAGGCAGCGGCTGCCGAAGCGCCCTGCGCCTGCTCGCCATAACCGTAGCTGTGCTTCTGGCCATAGCTCTGCTGAGGGCCATAAGAGCGCTCCACAATCTGACGTGGCTCCTTCCAGACGAGAGGAGCACCAGCGTTGGGTGCAGCCAGACTAAGCTTGGCCAGGGAGATGGCCTGACGATCGACGGGCGCGGCACCATATCCGCGGCTCGAGGTGTAGTGGGCGGAGACTGGCACCTCAATGCTGCGGCCGTAGTTGTTGTTGCCATAGCCGCCACCGTAGCTGCCACCACCATATCCACCAGCTGGGACGATAGCCTTGACGGTCAGAGCGGGCTGGACCTGGTAGGCATAGCCGCCGACGGGTACGCTGCCGTAGCCCTGGCGACCGTACGCATTGGCCGAGACGGCGGCGATGGCGCAGACGAAAATGCACTGGAGAAAAATAGTGGGAAATAAGTCGGAGGCTACAGATGGACGCAGGATGCGCTGGCACTTACCATGAACTTCATCATTTTGTGGCTAATTGGCTTAGTTTGTGAGGTAGCTAACTAATGTCTGGAGTGGAGCGACCAGTTTTGCTTATATACTAAAAATCCAGGCAATGCCAATTCGCTTACGTGACGAATATGATGCAAGTTTGGCTCTAGCAGACGGTCTCTCGTCTGTGCCATGCCAATGTTCTTTGTGTTCCAGCCGCAATCTGAAGACGTCGCCGCTGGCGACGTGCATTTGCCAACCGAACTGGGTCCAAAACTCGCTGCACTAATTCGGCGCGGGTCCAGATAGCGCAGGCGTCTGTGCGCTTACGACATCGTCTGAGAGTGCTCCCTGCTCGTCATTACGCAAGCTGGCTCGATGACTCGTGCGTGCCCAGCACATCGAGTGGGCGGCATTTTCTTTGCTTGTTTTCTTGTTTTGTTTTTTTTTTTTTGTTTCACTATTCGTCACTGTTTGCTCCACTGTGGCCGAGCTTGACACAATTTCCAACAAGCGCAGAAATATAGCCAAGGCATTGACTTGGGCTTTCTGCTGCGTTGGTAGAATTTATATACAAAAGCAAAAAAAGTTACGATAAAATTACAATAAAATTATAAACAATAAACAATTAAAGAAATATGCAACGGCAAGCACTTAACTCAAATAAAATAATAATAAAACGCTGCAAATTATTTGAAATTATTTTCGAATGCGCTACACTCAGTCACAGCGGCATATTAGTTGGTGAACAGAGCAACAGCATGAGGAATTAAATACAAATGATTTCCATTATATCCAGCGAATAAATATTTCGATTAAGTTTTTCACATGCAGTCTATTAATTCAGTTCTTGCTTGTATTCAACATAACCTTAAGATTTCAGTTTAAGTAAACATATAAGCTAGCAAACTGTTAAAGCTAGACAAATCATTGCAGCAGGTATTATTAATAAATAACATCTTCGCTTAGAAGTAAACGCAAATTAATTGAATAAGATCCCCAACCCCAATACTCTTCATCATTTCTCTCAGGGTTTTCATTAAATCCCAAATGAGAATGAGAATGAGAATTTTGCAAGCCGATTACTCGAGCATCAATAGCTTGTCCAACAACATATTTAACAGAAGCTGGCCAAGATTGGCACACAGCAGAGTGCTGCAGCTCTGTAATCTTGATGAGCGACACGTCTGGCTGGCGGCAACGCGACTTTATAAGAGCCGCGCGCCCGTTGGGCCAGTACAGAAAACTAGTTCCCAAAATGCGTAGTCTGTGCTTCAAGGTAAGAGATGTGGTTTTGAACAATAGCTGTGTGTGTGTGTGTTGTTATTAAAGCCTGATCCTTTGCAGATCTTACTAATGGCCATGCTGTTGGCGTTGGTTATGTACCAGAAACACATCGCGAGCGTTGCCGATGCCGAGCAATTTGAGAGCGATTGCCGCTGCCAAAGGCGGGGCTAAGCTGACAGCGTAATTGAGACGAAAATACACACATCAATAAACAAAATGCAGGTCGATGTATACACAAAATTTGAACTGTTTTTATAAAACTCGTAGACGACACGTACAAAACACTTTACTTGGCTAGTCGCTGGCCAGCTGAGCGCCGCACATGGCTTTCAGCCGGGTGAGCAGCGTGTGCAAATGGTGTGAACGCGAGATTGACTCTGCTGCTGATTGCTGTGCGCCTATGCCATGTTTCCCAGTCAAGGTTTCCATATACATGCGCTTATACAATGCCGACAGCTGTTTTGGATCCTTGCCGGTCGTTAACAGCAATTTGATGAGCGTTTTTAATGCGTTCTGCAAGCGGCTCTCAAAGAGCGTTAAATGTGCTATGAATTCGTCATCATCCGTGGTGACGTTGCTGTTGCTATCGATGACGTGCCCGAAAATGAGCTGGCACTGGAAACAAATGTCTAAAGCCGCTTGCATTTGCTTGACCTTCTGCGCGGCGTGGGTTGAAACTGCAAAGCAATTGGAAATATGCTGTATAGATAGCTTTAGTATAGCTCCTTTTGCACACATACCATCCGCCAGAAATTCGTGCAATGAGATGCGCTCCAATTGCACCACAAGCAAATCCCGCACCTCCTTTAAGCTCTCCAAGATTTGTGTGGCCTTCTCGTAGTGGTATTTACACAGCTGCAGCGTCGACTTGGGCAGCTGGGACACATCACAAACGCCATAGCCACGCAGTTGTGCATAGTGAAAGGACGCAATGCTGCAATGGACAGGATGCTTATCAATTATAAGATTTTGTTGCATGCCAAGTTAAATAGATTACCGCTTGTGTATTAGACCCGAGCGAAAGCTGTAGAGCACTTGGCGTGCGCCTGCATGATCCACATCGCATAGGCGCAAGGATTTTTGCAGCAATTCTAGCACCTCCTTGGATGCCTCGGCCAGGCTGCTTTTGTCGGCTGCACTATAGTCCTGCAGCTGCTTGGCCAATGTAAAGGTGGCCGTCGATAGCTCCCACTGCACCAGATCCCAGAGCTCTGCATTGGCTTTCCTTGTGTCCAGGCAGTCCTTGGCTTTCTCATAGTAGTTAAAGGCCTCATTATAAAATGATTTCTGTGTGTCCAACGCAATTGTGCTACAATTTCGAAAAGGATAATTAGAGTAAAAGTGGGCAGTTAATAAATTATGCACACTCACCTTTCATTGGGCATGGTTAAGTGTGCACGCAGCCGCATAAATCTGCCCATGTTGCAGTAGAGAAACGCCAAATTCACATTATCCTGCACCGCTGTGAAGGCCTCAATGCCACGACGCAGACAGTCATACGAATTGACAGTCAGTTTGACATACAAAGGCTCCGCCGCAGACGCGACAGTCTCAGTTTTTCCATCCGATTCGGATTTCGAATTATCTTCAGACCCCGCCTCCTTTTTGCGTTTCATTTGGCTGTACTCCTCTGCAAGGCATGTGTATTAGTTGGTCAATCTCTAAGAGTAGAAGGCCAAATAAAAAACTCACCCTGTGCCGAGTACATGTACTTGAGACCCAATTCATTGCGCACATTGCCTAAGCGACGCAGCAGCTCATTGCTCTCCGCGCTCTGGGCATGCTCCAGTGCGTCTTCGTAGCATTTGCAGCTGTGCAGCATGACCTTTTCGACATTCTTCACAGGCGCCAGCGTGAGCAGCTCTGATTCTTCCAGCTCCTGTGCCAGCTCATCGCTAATTTGACACGTGGGCTCATCTAGCTGCTCATATTGCTGCACATACTCCTCAATAGCGCTCCAGTGCTTTGAGATTTGAAAGAAACAGTCGCCGGCGCGTCCCAGCAGACAACTTTGCTGTGAGACCACATTGGCCATATACTTGTTAAGCACTTGCTGGCAGCGACAGGCCAGCTCAATGGCACGCAGCGTGCTGCCATAGATCTGGGCTTCGTAATAATGCTCCGCCAGCGTGGCATATGTTAGGCACGCCTTCTCCAGCAGCAGCAGCTTAAGATGCACATTCCATGAGCCAAAATGTTGACTATTAAATTTGGCGCTAAGCTTCTGATTGCAGCTGACAGCTGCTGGCTTGTTGCTGCTGTTGGTTGTGGCCAGTTCCTTGGACTTGCTGCGTTTGGTCTTCGTCTTAATGGAGCGCTTCTTGGACTGCGCCTGCGCTGGCGGCTGAACAAGCTGAAGCTGCTCGTAGGGCAGTGGTATAGCATTGAAGGGCTTTGCCATGTTGGGATTCTGCTCTTCGTGCAGAATGCGCTGCTTCTCCTCTTGCTTGGCGTGCATTTCCGACTCCTTCAATTTCTCCTCCTGATTGTCATTGAAGTATTGCAAACATGAGATGCCCGCGCTGATGTGCTGCAGCGAAATCTTGCAGCGATCGACGGTGCTGGCTATTAAGGGCGCCGGCTTTGATTGCTTGGCGTGCGATTTGAAATCCCGCAAAGCGTCACAAATGTGCCGGACCGCAACATTCGCTTTGCCACCGCTTTGCGCTGCGCTTTGATAGTACTTGTCATGGCCAAAGTCGAGAGGTGGCTCGTCATCGTAATCCTCTGCATCCTCATCCTCATCATCCTCGTCGTCGTCGTCGTCTGCATTGAACAGCGAAGGGGAATCATTGAATTTGGGCGCCTTTGGATCTATGCCTGCGGGCACATGCAAATCCGAGAGTATATAGTGTGAGGAGCTGACAATTTGTGGATACTGCTCTTTGGGCAGCAGCTTGATACAGTTGTCCAGCAAGGCGCGTATATTGCCTGCCGTCTTGGGCGTAATGGGTTCCAGTGTGTTCTTCATGTTGCGTGCCACGGAGTACAGCAACATGCCCACAGGCACCGTAAACGGATTCATTTCCTGCTGCTGTTGTTGTGTTTGCGGACGCTCTGACTCGGCCGCTTTGTTTTGATTCTGACAGAGCGTTGTGAGATCGTAGAGTTTGACCACATCATCATTGCGGCCCTTGAACAGCCAATAGGTGTGACCCGCCTTGGTGGCGTTCGCCTTGAGAAAAGCCAAAATATTCTGCGCCACGTTGCGCACCACCTGTGGCGAGAACTGCGAGTTCTCCAGATAGGGCAGGTCCTCAGTCTTGATGATCTCATATTTCTGCACAATGCCATCCAAATGGTAGCACATGACCACCTCGGGCACATTGCACATCAGATTGTCCAGCCAATAATCAATGCCAGTCAGAACATTGATGGGCTGCGCGGCGTCACGTAGCCGCAGGCTAATGCAGGGCCTGTTTGGGCCACCAAAGATTGGCATATCAGTGCCAATCAGCATGCGTATATCCTCAAAGGTCCACACGACATTGCGATTGAAGGCATGGCTGGACTTAGGATCGGGCACATTCTCCTCGATCTTCGGTTCCGGCAGTACGGGTCCAATGATTGGTAAGCCAGCGCGTCTGCTGGTCAGCAGCGTGGGCGCATTGGTATCGTAATCCGTATTGCCAGTCTGTTTAAGGCTATGGTACAGAAACTTGGAAAGCAAATTCTTTGTTTGCAGCGCCTCGCGTGAGCGCTCCTTGAGGCAAAAATTGTGCTGCTCCTCGCCATAGGCCAGAATGTGCTCCAGTATGAAGGTGCGCAGCCACTTCCAATCATCATCCGACTTGCGCAGCAAATACTTTTGTATATCGAACTCGTCCAGCAGCAGTGTGTTGCCTACCTTGTGGACAACCATGCTAATGGCGCTCTTGGCGCTGTAAGGCAGTTTAAGTAGCTGTTTGATATTCTCGGCATCCGAGACGACGTCCACTTCGCCCACACAATCGGGAAACATTTGTCCCAGACGGAAGCTGGCGAATCCTGCGCTCTGATACAGCGCCTGATGCAGTCCATGGCTGCTGTGTGAGGTGGTCAGCCAGTTGAGGGGCGGTAGATTAAGATTAGTGTTACATTCCAGGCGCTTGAAATGCGCTGGCACCTGCACGGGCGACAGTTTTATAATGGCCTGACTTTTCACTGCCTCCAGCTCGTGCGGCCCAATGCTGCGGCAGGGTTCAATCTGAAACACACTTTCGATAACTTTACAAATTTTATTGGGTACATTTGCTTACCTCTTCGTTGCTATCTTCCATTGCATTGAATATTCATTTCAATTTTCACACTTAAACAAAATTGTTCACGAATATTCCACAAGGTAGGCGTTTATTATACCGGCAAACAGCTGTTGCATAGCTGCCATCCCTGGTATTGACAGGGTTGCCTACGCTCACCAAACAAAACACACACGCAGCTATCAGCTGTTGGCCGCACTCTTTTTTTTCTTTCCACCACACAGAAACATAAAATCAGCATTATTTGTATAAAACTAACACAGACAATATGCAATTGTTTATAATGATAGCGCTGATGTGCCTGATTAACACACTCCTGCCGGACTTCATACGCAACTACGTAATTAGAGGAGCCAACGTAAAATCGACCAGCCTTAACTAAATGCAGTTTCGCCACAGGTTAAATTATCTCGTTTTTGGAAAGGAACCACAACAAACGCACTTTTACAAGCAGAGCTGGACGCAGCACGCGAGGAGCTGAACAATGTACACACTGCCCAACATGCCGGCGAATATGCAAGGAAAATAAAGACAATGCGTGCCGAGCGCAAAGTTACTGATGCCGAGATCAAAATAAGATCGACCCATCAAATGGAAGTCCTCAAACAGTCAACCATCGATACAGTGGCCTACTATGTGTCGAAGGTTCTCTTTTCACTGTTCGTTATCATAGTGTGTGCCCGGCATCGTCAGATTCCTGTGATGATCTTTGACGACAGCTTTAGTCTGGCGCCGCTGACCGGGCTGCTCAGCTTTCCCACTGGTGTATACAATGCTATCTCAGTGCCCGCTTGGGCCTTCTCATGTAATTTTACGTTTCGCCTGTTGTACGGTTTGGTAAAGAAGTGACTTGTGTAAAATGAATTGTAATTATGTATTTTATTGCAATTAAGTTATCTGTTAAAAGTGCTCGATATAGTTTGCTTAGCTTCATCACGGTTTTAACAACAAAATACATAAAACAAATATGTATTTTGCACATAAAAATACGTTAAACTGACT